GAAAACCCCGCCAACCGCCTCCGCGTCATCGGGTTTCTCCCTTCATGATCTGAATATTTTAATAACTGAGGGCAAACAAATAAGAGAAAAGCCACGCTTAAATTCGTCGTTTTCAGCACGAAGGAACGTAACTCCATTCCAGGGTTACCAGATTGACTCGAACAATTAATTTATTTTACAAAAATGTACGTAAGCATTTTTTTATCTAAAATTGGTCGGTTTTTGCTTGGAATCTTGAGAAAAATCAGGGAAATTTTCAGTCAGAAATGTCCAAGATTCTCTTGATTACTAGGCAATTTGCGAGGGGAAATTTGGCAACATTTAAATGGAGTTACGTTCTTTCGTCCAGGAGACGACGAATTGTCGCTTTCTAAGTGTGGGCGTTTCCGCTATGCAAAAGAGGAGAAACAGGAACGATTCTATTCTGGTGACTTGCTGCCATGCACCTAAATATTCCTACGTAAGTTCTAACAGAAAACCCCGCCAACCGCCTCCGAGTCATCGGGTTTTGCCCTTCATGTCCTGTATTTTTTAATAACTGGGGGCAAACAAAGAAAAATCACGCTAAGATTGTCGCTTTTTAAGTGCAAGCGTTTCTGCTGTGCAATGAAAGAGAAACAGCGGTCTGATTGTTGAAATTGGTAGACAACCTAAAGACAAAGTACATAGGGACCAGGGAGTACAGAGCGACCTTATTGGTTGAAATGGTTGGTTCCTATTGACTAAGAGAGGAAATGACCGATTAACCATAGGGTCTCTCGGGTTGCCGTTAGTTAGTCTATTACCTAACACCTATGTCTATATCCAACCACCCGCTTCCACCCAGGGGATCCCTCCGTATCCCTTTTGTATTTTTTGTCTATAGCTTTGTCCACCAATTGCAACAATCAGCTCGCAGGAACAATTCTAGCAAGTTAACAATGTTGAAGTCTGAGCCCGTTGAAGCCTGCTTCCCCTAATCCAGAATTTAAACAAAAAACTGGACGAATGTCGTACGCTAAAAGAGACTATGCACAAATGAATTAAATCAAAATAAGCTATGCACATGGGGTTTGCGCACTTTATAGCTTCATTTTCATTAGGCACAAATCTGTCCAAGCGATGAGCCGCGTGATCAGGAATTTACATTTTTAGATTGGTAGTTGCAATCTAAAGTATGTTTCTTTCTCGGTCATTGTATGCAAATGAGAATAGGGCATTATATCTTCACCACAAGTTAGTTCGAAGAGGTTCAAATTTAAAATCGAGGGTCATTCAATTGAAGCACCCTGCATCTCTCCAACAAAATACAGAGAGTGGATTAGTTCTTGGGTGTGAATAAACTCAATCAAATCTTTGCATGATATAGTTTATTGACAATAAACTTAGAGGAAAAATTAAGTCTTCAAACCCAAATACCCATGCTCTGGTTTTATAAAAGGACAAGTTTTCTTTTCTCTTTCTACCTTCAAATTCATATGGGCTATAAAATCTATCAGTATGCAAGTGAAGGAGGAGAGCACATGGGTGTTTAAAAAAGAATACGATTTGCTTCCTTTTTTCTGTTTGGTGTGACGCATTTATATTATACCCTATCGCTCACTTCCGAATTTAGCAAAAGTGAGTTTTTTTTATAAACCACAACGAATTGTTACATCAATCATCTATCTATTTTTCTTCTCCCAATGCAGGGATTCATTGATTGTGGGAACACAAAAATTAGATCAGTTCTGATACAAAAATCTGTAATATCATTCACCAATATTTTACAGTATATTACCTATCTTTAAATTTTGAATTTCCATCGTTTCAGTTGAACTTTACTGTCGCAACTGTCTCATGAACTATATCATCAGCTTTTAACTCTGCAAGGTAGTGCAGTGAGAACCTATTGTTCCGTAATCTTCTCACCTTAACCTTAGGCGCGGGTTTGGCCTGAATTCGGAATCTGATTAGCAGCGTGGAGTGTGGGAAGGCGTTTTAAAACGCCTTCATTTTGAAGCATTATGCAATTCACTCGACAACCCGACTTCTCTCGACGCGGCTGATGGTGTGAGCTCGTGAGCCAAAGAAGTGATTTCTCAGAGGATGTTCGCAGCCTCATCAAGATACATATTAGCAGTTATTTATTGAAGTTTGTTTTCATCGTGACAGTGAGGGGCAATAGTATCTAATTCTTTAAATAACTCCTCATTATTTTATTTTTGAAGTTTCGCCGGAATTATTTTTGGATGGAAATATGTCTTGTCTCAGTGGCTCAATCGTGAACTGAGAGTTATTTTACTCAAAAATGGACATTGAGCTGTGATGAAAATGATCAAAATCACAGATAAATAGTGATTTTATTGATCAAATATTTTGGCTAACACCTTGCGTAAACAGGTACACCTTAAACGATAAAGGTTGGGAAAGGAACAGTGCTCGATTGAAAGGCCTGCCGAAACCGTGGTAAGGGGCGATTTGGCTCACGTAGAGTATTGAGTTTCTTGTGACCGGGCAATTTAAATTTCCTATAACCAATGTGAAATCAAAACGTTAATATCTTAGTCAAGAGTTGATTTCAGTAATTTTTGATGCAAGAATCGTGTTCTACATGAAATTCTGGTTAAAAAACAAGTATCAGAGTGGCTAAATTCTTACCTTACCTAGTCTAATGGTCCATTGTTTAGACCTTTTAAAATGAAATTTCCTCTTGAGCAGATTAAATATTCACGCACGGCGTCCTTGAGAAGTGAACGATTAATCAAACATGAGAGATATGTCTAGAAACAGTTATTTCCACACATCTGACGAGCAAGATCACGTGCTTTAATTGGCGAGTAGATATTGTGACGTAAACGAGCTGTGCAGTGGGTATTCTCACACATAAAAAACGCACTAGATGCACTCCATCACCTTGGCATACACTTACGTACACCTTCAAGTCATGTTTTATGTCTGTCCTTGATTTAACATGACTGCGTAACTTACCTTTTATAAAGTGCAACAGCGATGGAAAGTTCATTCTTTCCTCACCTATTGTTTTTTTAAATTTCATTTATCTATTTTTTTATTTATTCCTTTTTTTTTTGTAATTGAGAAGCGTGGAGGACAAGGCTCATAAGTGCAGTTTTTTCTATTTCGAGAAATACGTGTTTGAAGTTTCGCGAAATTACGGGGATCCTTGTGGCGGAAAGAAAGTTCAACCTGACTTTATGTCAGCAATCTGAGGAGATATTTGAAAAAATTGAAGTGGACAGGGCCGGATTCACCTACTTGCCGCCCATGGGCCGCCTGTATTTTGCCGCCCCCTTCTTATTCGTTTTGAAACTCAATAAAAACCATCAATTGAACGTGTCAGCAGGGGAGGGGTGTATAAGACGCATTTACTCGTGTTGAATACATTTTGTGGGAAAACCCTGTCAACACTACTAGCTCAAGTTCACAGAACTTTGCGAGAAAGTTAAGTTTCGTAAACCTATCTCTCTGTGGACAAGGCCTCCCATTTATAAGAAAAGAACGAAAAAATTATAAAAGAACAAACATAAATGTGGTTCAATGATTTTAACCTCCGCCGCCGCGCCGCACCGTGTTTGACTCAATGCGTGAAGTATTCCGAAAGTCTTGTAGGCGCTATCCATTTCACGCTGACCGCAATGCCCACACTGTGTTTGATGCAATGCGTGAAGTATTCACGCAGTCTTGTAGGCGCTATGCGTTTCACGCTGACCGCACTGTGTTTGGCGCAATGCGTGAAGTATTCATGCATCCTTGTAGGCGCTATCCAGATTACGCTGACCGCACTGTGTTTGGTGCAATGCGTGAAGTATTCGTGCAGCCTTGTAGGCGCTAATATGTGTTACATGCCGATCGCCGCGCCGAGGGATTCTCCTTTTCATCTCAAGTCCTCGTCATCATTTCTCTCTAAGTCGCGCCGTTCCGGGCCAGATTGCGTGTTTGGTTTCTCTCTTAACTCGACTAATTAAAGGTGCTGTCTCCTGTATCGCTCAGAGACGACAAAATTAGAAATTACTATACTCTCAGGAATTGAGAGATTTTGTCGACTTTTCTGGTTTGTAATTTTTTTTTCTAAATCCGATTTTTTTTATACCTAAACTTAAAAAAAATTGCAAATTTTTGCCGCCCCTTAGATTTGCCGCCATGGGCCGCGACCCATGTGGCCACCTCCTTAATCCGGCCCTGGAAGTGGAGTAACGTTCTTTCGTTACGGGAGCGACAAAATGTGAACCCAATCCTGGGAGTGGGTTTCGTTACTGGAAACTGCCGTCTGGATGTTCGACGATGCATTGAAAAAGGGATTTTCGGTTCTTTCGCAACGAGGAACAACGTACACACTTGTCGCGCGTGTGGCACCTGACGGTCCTAAAAAAACATCGAATATCCGGTCTCAATTTCGCGGGCCAAATGTCCTGTCCAGTGTCCATGTGGCATTTCATCTCTAACCGTCAACTTTTTATTTTGCATATTTCAGGAAAGATGTAAAATTTGACAAATTAAACATCAAAATTTGCAGATTTAGTTAAACATTTCATGTCCGACCTCTTTGATTGACTCGACTCGATCCACTGTGTGCCGTCTAATTGGGCCGCGTTTAACAGAAAGGAACCAAGCCACATCAGCTATTGCCAAATTTAACTGGGCAATTTAACATTTTACGAGAGGACATTTGTGCGGATTCCTTTGAAAATTTTAAGGAATTCGCTCTGCACGGTAGAGAAAATTCACTGAAATTTGCACAACCGTTTTCATGTAAAAAATTAAATTTCCCAGTTAAAACGGCAATTGCTGATGTGGCTTGCTTCCTTTCTGTTTAACGCGGTCCAATTGTTTGACGATGCATTGCAAAAGGGATTTTCGGTTCTTTCGCAACGAAGAACACTTGTCGCGCGGTGTGGCACCTGACGGTCCTAAAAAAACATCGAATATCCGCTCTCAATTTCACGGTCCAAATTTCCTGTCCAGTGTCTCTGTCCCTGTGGTATTTCATCTCTAACCGTCAACCTTTTATTTGCATGTTTCAGGGAAGATGGATGTGCCAAGGGTGGCGCTGTTGAGCTGCTGGCTCTGTTGTCTCCTGGCGGGATATCCGGGATCCGGTGTCGCGAGCGCGGTCGCCACGGCTCCTCCTCCGAGGATGACATCACCTCCTTCACTTCCCGCGTCCTCCGCCGAAAGCACCCTCCCCCCCGCCACCGCCACCGCCGACCCGACTCCTCCTGTTCCGGTCACCATCAACGCAACCATCGGTAAGAATGTCCACCGTCTCCGCCACCGCACGCCCTCATTATCGCTGGACACTATGCACGACCGAACACTCCCGCGCTAAGGAAAAACGACGTATGAACTTGCGAGAGTTGCCTAATAGTGTTCGAAACTCGCCAATAAGTTTCAAGAGCCATGCTGCCGTGCTAAGGAGAAACGACGTATGAACATCCGGGAGTTGCCAAATTTCCCCTCTTGAGAATTAATTTTTGAGACAAATAATGAATATTTCTACTTGAAATATTTTGTAGAACATATTGCGATGAAAATTTGCTGGAAAAGTGGACGGAAAATTTTTACAAATTTTCCTGAAAATCCGTATTTTACCGACATAAATTTGGCAACGCGCAATGGTTCATACGGCGTTTTTCCTTAGCACGGCAGCATGTGGCCCGTCAAGCTCGAATTTTAGGGGCCAAATTGACTTTTTGCCTAAACATCACGGCGCATTTAGTAAAAAGTTAGAATCCGGTGCCGTGCGTCGAAATTTCGAAAAATCACCAAACAGAAAAATTGGGAATTTTATTTGGGGGGGGGGGATTTTTAAGAGCCACGTTGGCGCAGAGTCTTCAATATTTAGGCGCCATGACCGATTTTTCAGGCGCATTCAGCGCGTTGGTGTCTGTGAGTTTTGAACAATGCTGCCAAATTTGATTTGATCAAAGATGAATTTTTGGCGAAATCCACGAATATTTTCCGGAGAGTTTCCAGGTGTGTGAACTTCGATGGATTTAGTGTTTAAGTGGAAACTACCGAGAGAACTGAGCACGAGGACATATTTGGTCCATAAATTGAACACCTGTTGGAATACATACGACAAAATTATTTAATCTGCTTTAATGTGTTTAAATGGAAAATGCCGTCAGATGACGTCACTAGGCGCGCATTTTCTCAATTTTCAATCTAATTTTTACTATTTCCCATTTCAGGAAAATAAAAATTTAAAAAAATGTTGCAAAATCAGCTCCTAAAGCACTCTCAGATGAACCAATAAAAAATTTGCGTGTAGATTCTCCATTTCTCAGAAATACTTTTATTCGCAATTCTACGTAAGCTATTTGTTCATTTTTAAGACGAATCTAGACGATAAACAACTTAAAAATGAATATTTTATCGTAGGAGATTTGGCAACACTTGGTTGTTCATACGCTGTTTTTACTTAGGTGGCCGGCTCCGGCTCGTCTCGTCTCGTTTCCTTCCGCGGCTCATAATCCTCGATTGTATGCTCCGGACCAGTGGTGCCTGACAGCGGCGTGGCGTGCTTTACGATGTATCGATTGTTATGCCATTTAAACCAATGGAAAAGGATCGATAAACAGAGTGCTCGCAGCGAACAACTTAATAATCGATTCTTTACCGTTGGTTTAAACGGCAGAACAATCGATACATCGCAATTTGCGCCACGCCACGCCACTGGTGCCTGAACCACGTTTTTTCGAATTTTATTTTTTAACGAACAACAATGATGATTCTTAGTTGTGCTGAGGAAGAGTGCTTTAAGACCATTCGAATGTTGCCAAATTCCCCAGAATAAAATACGGTAGATTCTCGGTTCAGTTTTATTTTTCAGGTGTTGCACATTTGAGCTGTTCCCCGCTATCGCGAAATTACCCATTAACTCTCCGCGGGAACTCAAATCGCGTAAACTCAACGAGGTGAAGATGATCTCTTGGGAGTTAATATAGTTGCTCGATATTCAAATCAGTAGCCACGCAGCGCCATCAACAAGTTTGTAACGCCACGAATCATTGCGTGCACTCAAAACTCCTTCAATTCGGTAGCCAGGCAATTTGATCTCCGAGGAGTTAAAATAGTTGCTCGGTGTCGAGGTATGCGTACGGCTACGGTGCATCGCACTTCTTGCTAACTGTAAGTCGCGAGTAACATGACTCTCTCGAAGTGTCTTCACATCATCGAGTTTGCGAATTGAGTCCCCGGGATCTATACTGTAGTTGTTCAAAGTTAAAATCAGTAACCTCGTAGGGCCATCGGGAAGTTTTTAAGGTTATGAGTCAGTGCGTGCACTCAAAACTCCTTCAATTTCGTAGCTATGCAATTTGATCTCCGGGGAGTTTAAATAGTTGCTCGATGTTGAAACACGCAGTACCTTCCGCAGTAGGAAAACAGAGCTGTAAATGAAATTGAATGGGTTTCCATCATGTATAGGTACGTAAGACAAGAAAAAGAGCATTTTCCAACATTCTTTCTAAAAAACGCGAAAGTCACACTTTTAGCTGTTTGCCCCCTCCCTCTCCCTCCCGGATGGTTTTTGTACTATAACTTTGTAATGTTTTTCAGGATTCCTAATTGATCTGCATCGTTCGGATGATTCGGATCACGTTTGTGGTAAACTCAACCTCATGGCTGTTCAACAACTTCTTGCAGCAGAATGGGCCGTTTCGGTCGTCAATAAGCAAACTAGACCGGTTCCTGTTAAAATGAGTAAGTTCTCATAGTTTTTACTTAAATTGTGATGCATCAAGCACCAAATGAATTGATAAGATAAATACAAATATTAAACATAAGTCCAATAATCATTTTTTTTTTTTATTTTTTTAGTTTTAACCTTTGCTTTAAATAATGTCCATCTGTAAATGGAAAAATTGTGAGCTTTTAGAAATTCTGCTCGATTCTACATACGGAGTACCTAAATAAAAAACTAAGTCGCAGTTCATAGTTTCATAGTATCATAGATGTAGAATTTTCACCATCTTAAATAAGAAATATTTAAAACTTCTTCAAATTTCTTTCTGGTCACTGCACTGACCAGTGAGTTAACGAAATTTATAGATGTGCAAATATTGATATGGTCAGACTTGCAAACGTTTTCACAATTTTGGGCTTAATCATTTCAGCTCTCATTCCAGTATACTGCACACGCACGTGGCGAAAGCGTTGAAACATAACACCCAGCCCTCTCAGTCATATTTTAGATTTTCCTTTCGGTGAGCAAAGCGTCAATTCAATGAAATGCAAATGCTGGTAATAATTACCGCAGCTTGTAATTTAATGCTTAAGAGATGACATTCATTACTACCGGTTTTAGATCGCGGCTTTTTTTGCGAAAGGAATCATACAGATAAATAAATACACCTATCGCAGCATCATGATATACAGCTGCACACTTAAAAGAGGCCTTCAAATGATGAATGATCAGTAAATTGATTTACTTTTTTTTCCAGGTATGCAAATCTATGATACATGCAGCAATGAAGACGTCGCTATCCAAGACATTTTCCTAGCAATGAAGTCAGTCGCACAAAACAAGTCGCAGTTCCTCGGTTAGTGGTGTTTTATGAATTTTTAAACCGCTAAGATTGTACACGCTTACCGCACGAGTAATTCATAATTCGTTCTTTACATAATCATAATAGCGTTGCAAAATGAAGATAGGGTTCCATCAAAAGCGGGAAAGTTGCAATTCAAGTCATTCGTCCTACGTATTTTGCGAGTCACAATGCGGTGCCTCTGGATTTGTCTGAAATTGACTCACATACGGAGAGACAAACCTCGGTTCATATTGAATACTAACCGGATGATCGCAGTTTTTATTGAGCATGCTGAGGCTCGTTTTTTCACCAAGGACGTTGATTTTCCAAGCTCAATTTTGGTTTGCAAGTCTCGCAACTGCAGTTACCTGATACAAAAACTTTGGTGTCCCATATGAATTAAAGTGTAATCCTTAAAACCAGAACGCCTTAACCCCCGCGTTGACCATTTCTGACAAATTTTGTCGAAAAATATTTGTAGCAGCTCTAATAATAGGAGTGGCAAATCCCGGAGGTGAGAGTAGGGGAGGGGGAGGCTGGTGGTTTGTCCCTCCCCCCTCCTTGGGTCAAAAAAGGGGAAAAGAGAAAAGTAAAAGGGGTAAAAGTAAAGGGGGAGGGAGAGAAAAAAAGTGCTCTTAAAAATTTCCTGAAACGGTTTCAAGACAGGACCAGACCATGTGTCGAAAGTTTATTAAACTAGACCGAAGGTTACTCAACACCAACTCAATTACTCAATTACGCTGAAAGAGGTTTTATTCGTCAATTTTTAACTTTCAAGTAATGCACTTGTTATTGTATGCTAAAACTGCTTAAAGTTTAATGTGGGAGGGCTTATTTTTAAAAATTCTACTGGGGTAACTGCTCTAGAGATAATTATCCATTTTGAGTCTCTCTGGATCCTATAACTCATTTTAAGTATCCGTGGACCAAAGTATATTTTCCCGTAGACCGTCTCATATCAGTTAAAACCCAGAGGGTATTATTTTTTTCCTGTTCGGGCTCTTATTTGATCTCGATTCACGTTTTACAGGGTTAATTGGAGTTGGAGATGCGGAAATCGTGAGCGAGACGGTTCTAACTCTCCATGCGTTCAAGGTCCCGTTAATTCTGGCATCTCCGAAATTGGCCGAGATGGTGAAACAGAAAGGGAACATCTTAACAACTGCACCCGATCTAAGTAGTGTCACCCGGGTAAGTTCCAGCAACTCATTATTCCGTCACGCACTAGCGCCACCAGCGCGTCTTCACTTTCATATTCTCCAATACGAATAAACTGAGAATGTCGCGTTTCGTGAATACGAGGTGGCGTTTTATCATGGAGAAAAAAAGGAGGTGTTTGCATTTCGGGCATCTTGGAATTTTTTTTGATGACGCAGGTCGGTAAAGAGACTTTTATTATCGATTTTCTTGGAAATAGTGGAATTTTCTGGAAAAAAGTCATTTTATAAAAAAAAAGTGCTTGAAATTATATCATGAGTTGATTTAAGCAGAAAATGGGACATATTATGGTCCGTTTTTCATACTTCGAATTCCGCATTTCGCTGGCCAGGTTGTTCCGACCTACGTCACAGGGTAAACAAATCTCAAGATGCAAACACCTCCTTTCTTTCTCTCTGGCGTTTTATTCTGCTTTGAAAAATTCTCAACGCAGATGCAGCGTTTATACGCTTCATGAATTTTTTGTTTAAAAATTTCTCCTGCAATCATATAGATGATGAAATTAATATTCCCCGATACGTATGTACGATTTGTTTTTTTGTATCTTGCTGGTTTATGGTGAGCAGGAATACCTATCAATAATCAATCAAATTATATTTGCCAAAAGGAAGAATTTGACGATGGTTCTTTGTTCCACATGCTGCAATTTTTCAAGCAGATGGTTTCACTCGGAGAAAGAAGGCAGAATGTGATTTGGATAATTTTAACCCATGTACCCTTGTATGGATGGAAATTATTGAAAAATTTCAAACTTGGAAACATTGATACGACATCGAAAAACAAAAGCCCAAAAAGTCAAATAGCTGAGGTTGTGAAAAGCCCTACGAGAATTTCAAGAACATTTTGGATACCTCAGCTCCCTATCTATTCAGCTAGATTCGATGTAACCTTTAAAATAATTTTGAAATTTACGAAATTTAATGTAATCTTACTGAATTTACAAGGGCGTTCCGGCTCGTACTACCGAGGCAACAAAGAATGATAGTGAGTACTAAGCTGTCTAACAATGTACTAATGGCCAAAGTGCGAAACTAGGTGAACATTGCGGTCGTTCAAAATTTCCGTTCCCTAATTTAATTTTTCAAAGCTGAAAAAGCCAACTTTTTAGCTCAAAATTTATACAGGATACTCTGTTAACAGAGAAAAAAACTCAAGGAAGTACACAAGAAATTACGTTGACTAGTTTCCTTAAGAAAAAATAAAATACACTACATCTGCATAGATCCGCATCATCGCAAATGGAGCGATGCATATTGTGGTTTACACCCTAGGCATCATTATGCTTTCCAGGAAATCTAACAATTAGTATTAGATTACTGGCAGTTGATCATCTGTATTTTTCACATGCTTAAACTTACTTTACCTATGTCTTCCTCATTTTCCAGCCAATTGCATCGTTTGCGGCTGAACTGGACCTGAAAGAAATCAACCTGATCACCTCATGCCAACACACTGTAAAAATGTTCAAAAATGCATTGACGACTTACAACATCGAGAGTCGTCGAATTTTGAAACTCGTGAAAAGATCAAACAAAATAGGAGAGATGATCAAAGACTTTTTGGATGAACTGGTATGAAAATCATGCAATTTTTAGTTCAATTTTCCCTTTACCTTAATTTGTTACCTTATTTTTTGGGAGGATTAGCTTCCCTGCCCTCTCTTTTTTTCACTTTGGCATAATGAGCTTTTTTTCCGAAAGATATCACAAAAGTGACATAAATCAAATGACACGACAATCAAAGGATTACTCTGCGTTCACTCCTGATCACCACGCTCTCAGAGAAAAACGTTTCGGTAACAGATAATAAATTTCGGTTCTAATTGAACACCGAAAATTTTCAGTTCAGGTAACTGAAGATCTGGGAAGATTCGGGTTTCATTATGAACTAAAATTTAGTATCTGAGAGAGAACCTATTTCTTTCCCAATGATAGCGTATTAACTTCGGTCAGCAGATGGTATGGCAGGGATTTTCAAGTATCGCCATCATATCACGTATCATACACTTATTTATCATATCACAATTTTTATTTCATCTCGGTCATCGCGCAACAGAAACATTTGTAAAACTGCAATGAAATAGTTGCCTTCTTGCTGAGTAGCTTCATAGTGGCACACTTTCCAACTGAATCTGTAGAAAATGGGCGACATTTACCGAACAAAACAGGAAGCCTCGACTAACGTGTCATTCGCAGGGTTGCAATACGTCTTAAAATGAGGACATCTTTTCAATTTGTCTGCGTATAAGTGTACCGGCATTCACTATAATTTGGCAAATTTGGCCATGAACATGTGTGCTACGAAAGTGCACGCAACACGCAATACCATAACTGCTCGAAAGTAAGAAGCGTGTCTGCATTTTCTGATAATATGAGCGTGCATATGCTGCAGACGTTAATTGGCTCAGAAGCGGTCTTCTAAAGTAGGAAAGAGGGTTTCCTCTTGCATGACGATTTCAGTTGCTCCGAACGGAACTGGACACAAATAATTCGTAAATAATTCATGAAATACGCACCTGTGCTAGATTTGATGCCCATTAATTTCCTGTTGGGGTTTTTGCACGAAAGAAAGTCGGTGCACAAACGGCTTCAAATTGAATAATTAAATAATCATAATAATTTGTCCACTAGTCGAAGCGAACAAATTCATGTTTTTCAAAATACTAACCATGAATTATTTTGACGAAAGAGTGGTTGCGTTTCCGCCGGGTTTAATTCCCTTTAAACTTTCTTATCAATATCTACGGAATTTTCCAACGGATAAACTGTTTTTTTTTTTTTTTTTTTTTTTAAATTGTTGATTGTTTAATTCCTGCCATTGCATGCCCGATAAGTAGTTATCAATTGTTAAGTAGACTTTTTTTTGCAAATTCTCGCAGCAATGAAAGTCAACAGAATTCAGAAAGCTCTAATTTAATGTTCTGAACGTTGCAGTTCTGATGCATGTAAACGTTACTGTTTTAACTCAATGTTAAGAATCTTCTAACTTTTTTTGTTCGTGGTTTTTAGGATACAGGGGAAGCAGTCGCTATTATCTTGGAACCAGAAGAAATAGAAATTTTCGTCAATTTTATGAATGGTCAACGAACCAAGAAAGTTACCTTAATAACAGGGAGCATCGGGTTGAATAAAGACCTGTTGAAACTATGGAAAAACGTGTTTGCGGATAGTTACTTTGTCGAGCCGCATATGCCAGAACTACCCGAATTTCACGATTTCGTCTTCAAAAAATTACAGGTGAGTACAAAAACTCAATCAGCTAATGAACTGATAGGCAAGTAAGCCAAAGCAAATTCAGAAAGATCAATTGGACCGCATTTTGCAATTTGGAGCTATAAATTCTGACTCATCTGAAAAAACACTTATGTGCATAGGGAAACTAATGGCACATACGTTGTTTTTAAACCGAGTCAGAATTTATAGTTCCAAATTGCAAAATGCAGTCCAATTGGATTTGAGTGGCTTGGAAGACGATTGGGATAGGTGCAGTTCTTGAAAAAAATGAGGTATCAATGATTTCATTCAAAGTTAGTCTTACTTCATATTTTGTGAAAAATTCACCGCGATAATCCACTTTTTAAGCATCAAAAAGTGGGTTCGAGCTTTCTCTCCCCCACGAGGCTCCATGTAATTTTTAAACTTTAAAATCGTGTTTCTTGAAATATCAAGAACTGCACTTATGCACCATCTCCTCCAAGCCCCTCATTTCACGAACATTTTTTTTTTCAAGCTGAGGGGCTCTCGAATCTTACCATTCTTTCTGGCGTATTGGATTGGACCTGACCACGGATCATTCCTGAAACACACCTTTCCTCTCAGCTTCTATTTTCATCGACTCGGAGTCTGTACAAAATTATAGCGAGTTATTCGGGAATGCGTCACTATTTAGTAATATCAAGTAAATATATTTTGTAAAATATTTGCTTTTCACGTTCAAAAGCCCTTCTTCAATCGAAATTCACTGGTTCACATTTTTATTTTAGAGACGTTTCTGTGTTCTGAAATTAACATTTTTCAATTTGAATGACTGATTTTACCCACGATCTATGCGCAGGACGCCAAGGTCTCGAAGAAGAACTCGGTTTTAAGGGATTACTTATCCGCTGTCCACAACTGTTCCTGGGAAGATAGCTGCAAATCTCTTACAGCGGTGGAAATTGCGAGTCATCTGCTGATAAATCCTGAGGTGGGTTTTGAAAACTTTCTATACTTTTCAAACGTACGCTATGATACGTTCTTATTCGTAGTTAGAATTTGTATCCCCTTCCTCTTCTGCGCTTCTTCTTCTTGTCGCCCTTCCTCGGCTTCCGTTGTTTCAGCGGTTCGTGGCCCTTCGTTTTGAGAGAGCACCAAACCAAGTTGCAAAAAAATGCTGAAATTCTCCTTTAAGGTTTTTTCCGACTAAATGCAACACAATATACATATGTATATTACTTGAATGCGTGAAAAGCGGACAATTCTGCAAGTCAATTTATGATACAAATAATTTAACTCTGGTGTGGGCGGTGAAGTATCGCGCGAAACTGAAGGCGTTTTAGACGCGTGCCACGTGAAGAAATCAGTGAAACTCGCACCCTCCGAGTTGAAGTTGCTGTTAAAACGGTTTGAACGTACCATGCTGTACTTAGTGTAGCCCACGATTAGTCAGAAGTTTTTTCGAGTACCAGTCATAAGTTTCACGGAGAATTTTTTTTTTTTTTTTAAATAAGTAAATGAATAAAAACATAATTGCAAGAGTGCTCGTCAGTCCACATTCACGTAACTATGAATTCCCTTTTTATAATTTTTTTCAATTACTATTTTGCATTACTTTTTTTGTGATCTTCCATTAGTGCTGAATGTACAGCCTCCCCTGCTTCTCTCGGAGTAAGGTTTACAAAGTTTTTTTAAGTACACAAAAACTCAAGTGCCATTAGCTCGCATTATTAAATGCTTGTTTTTTCTTCCCCCCCCCCCCCCAACCAGTTAAGAATGTAAAAGCGTATATATTACCCCAAAATGACGCAAAACAAAAAAAAGTTTAAACATGCGTTGCGAATATTCAACGGTAGTGTTCTTTCTTACATACCAGGGACTTCGTCCCCTGACTGCTTCGCGGCCCAACCCTCCCATGCGCTTCGCGCGTCATTCTCATGATATTATATTATTTTGTAATATTCAGTGTCGGACTGGCGTAAAAAAAGTTAGGCAGCTACTAGGATTTTGGGGCCCCTGACGTAAAAACTGGGCCCCTATGGGGGGTCTGGGGGGTCGCCCCCCAGGGATGGAGGGGGGTCCGGGGGTCCTCCCCCGGAAAATTTTGAAAATTTAACCCCTGAAAATAGAAGTTTTAGGCTCTTTTCGCATTGAAATTTGATAAATAGCGCCTCCGAAAATGTCACCTATTTTTTAGATATTTTTTGAAAAATTCGGCGATGAATCTGCAAATCACAAGGCTAAAGACAAAAATGACATATGTTATCAAATTGAATTTATAATTTTATTCAGGAAATTTCAAATTTCAAAGTCAAACTTGTGTATAAATAAAAGAAAAAAATACATATAGGAATAAACTCACACTATTAATAAGCGCTTTAACAGTTTGCTGGTCGCAGCAACCAAATCAATACAAAGATTTTTGTCTATAAGTTGCGTCATATCGCGCTCAACAAACAGCATCATGAGAGGTGCCAATAGATCTTGGCCTAGCTGAGACCGCAGTCTATCCTTTAAAATTTTAAGCTTAGAAAAAACTCTTTCGCAAGTCACTTGCGTACAAGGTAAAGAAAGCACATATTTGTAAGCTATATACAAATTATTTGAAAGGCTCGTTTGACTTGTTAATTCATATAATATTTTGAATGCACAATGGATACAATGACCCTCGGCCTCAAGTTCTTTTCTTTTTAAGGGATCAGGCTGCGGCCTAGACTTCACTTCTTCTGTTTCGTTCTCTTCTTCGTCTAATTCTAAATCATCATCATTATCCTTTAACCAGATCATTAGCTCCTCCACACCACTGGATGACTTTGGAATTGAGTCACTGAAACTTGTTGGTGTCTTGCTCTTCAAACTGTCGTAGAGACCAGCAAACTGTTTCATTTCTGAAGTAAGAGTATTCTGGTCAACACCAGCCAGTTTACTCAATTCTTTAAAAGTGTCTGGAGGAAATGTAAAACCAGGGTTTTGAATAGTCTTGAAATTTTTGGGGTTAAGCCACGAAATGTCGGACAATAACTCTTTATTGGGCACAAACCTTCTTTCTAAACTGCCTAAAACAGCATCGTAGACCTCAAAAAACTTTTTTCGCTGTGACTCTAAAATACTTAAATTCCGCGCCTCATCGTGTGCTTTTTCATCAAAAAATTTGTTTTTTAATGGGACACGTTTTTGCGGAAAGTCCTCTTCCAGAAAAATAATTTTATTTTTGGAAAAGCCTTCATTTATTTTTTTTGCAAAGTTCTTGGCTTTATCATAAAGTATTTCAAAATACTTGTCGTTTCGACGGGCTCTTAATTGACTTATAAGATGATCTACGACATTCCAAGCTTGTAAGTAATCCAAATTTTTAGACTGCAGGAAAGTGGAGACCGGCGAAGTCATTTCAAACAAGTCCAAAATTACTATTGCTGAAAAAATATGTTGAAATTTGCTCCAGTTACTTAATAAATTACGTGCTTTAAATTTTGCGGTTCCATCAAAATTACTGTCTATAACCTCTAAAAGAAATAAAAAAAATGTAACAAACTTTGAGGACTCAAAGTCATCATCAATGTTTCCAAACAGAGCTTTTATAGCTTTGTGCTTACTCCACCATCTGGTTGCCCCAATTTTGTGCAGAGTGTACAATTTGTCGTGTTTTTTATGGCGTTTGCCTGTTTGCTGTCTCCATATGTCCATCTTTTTATGAGAATTTGACAAAAAAACTGCGGAGTCTTGCACAAGCCCTAATAAATCCTCAAGAAGTTCAAAATTAGCTGTACAATCTGTTATCACTAAATTTAGTACATGGGCCATACAATGAGTGTAAATAAAATTAGAGTTCACACTCTTAATTTTAGCCTGTAGACCTTCGTAAATGCCGGCCATATTACTAGCTCCATCAAAAGAGCATCCTATGACATCTAAAAGTAGCAACCCATACGTGTCAAATTCACGTTTGAGAAGGTTGAACAAACCTTCACCCGTTGAATCTTGGCAAATAACTAGATTTATCAGTCGTTCACAGGGAGCGTCATTTTTGACGTACCTTGCGCAAATGGCAAGCTGGTCCATTACTGCAACATCCTGCGTACTGTCTAACATGATGCTAAAATTTTTGGTATCTTTTAAATCCTTAAAAATTTGCTGTTGAACAGCATTTCCTAAGACTACTATTAATTTATTAATGAATGTTTTGGATAAGAAAGTTACTAAAGAGCCCCGACCTTTCTTCTTTTTCTGTTTTCTCTTACGCTGTTTACTTAACTCAATGCTCCTCTTAACATGCTCTTTCAGAATTGGATCGTATTCCGCTAACAATAAAACCAATTCCAAAAAATTTCCATGGCTCTCTTCTGTGTCTAAAGAATAAGCCGACTCTTTTGTACCTCGAAACGCCAGACCTTGTCGCGCTAAAAACAAAGTTATGTCGATTAGTCGGGAGACAACTTGCCGACGTACTTCAATCTCTTTGACTCGTTTGGACACCAAGTCTCGATTGATCGCGTGATCGATACTTAGATTTTGACAGGCCCTAAAAGTAGCCGATGTTGCTGTTTTATGTTCTTCTGACATTTCATGTCGCTCCACATCCTGGTAAATATTTTTAATATCAAGTTTACAGCCCGTGCGAAATTTTGATTTTGAATTCCCAAATGCCATGCAGTTAGCACAAAAAACCTGATTCAGTCCAACCGAATATGATAACCATGCTCTAGGATGATTTTGTCCGTTAGGAAGAGCACGGTAATACATTTTTCCGGTGTTAAAAGGAGTTTTACCCTTAAAATTAACAGGTTGAATGGGGTGGTGCTTTCGAAAAGCTTGTTTTATTTCTAAAGAGTCACTCTCTTGAGGAGGTATAAAATAAATCAGTTCTTCATCAGTTGAAGGGCCAGTACCAGCGAAGTTTTCACCTGACCTTATGTCATTCTCACCCGCTGAATTCAAAGTTTCTGACTCGGAATCAGTATCGCACTCGTCACCCTCATCATCCGATGCAGATTCTTCATCGTTGCTTCTATCAGAGCCGTCTTCAATTTTTGACTCAGAATCGCTTTCGCTACTACTACCATCGTCAGAATTTGAGACTTCATCAATGCTGTTTCCTGCGTCATCATCAACTTCCATTTCAGTGTTATGACTGCTACTTTCAACATGAAATTCAGAATTATCATTTTCCGAAAGTCCTGTACCTGAAACAAAAATTCAAGATTAAATTGCTGTTTTTGCAGCGTTGGTGTTCATTACATTTCCTTCCGAGTTCCGATAGAGAAGTTTTTTTTAAAAAAAAAATGAATTCAAGAGGTATGGGTAGGTTGCGGTATCCAATGTGTGATGGTGGTAGCATAGAGAAAAAAAAGGAGGTGTTTGCATTTCGGGCATCTTGGAATTTTTTGATGATTTGATGACGTAGGCCGGCACAGCGACGTCCCCTTCACGCTAAACGTCGCTGTACCGACCTACGTCATCAATTCATCAAAAAATTCCAAGATGCCCGAAATGCAAGCACCTCTTTTTTTTCTCTATGTGGTGGTAGTAGTGATTATTAGGGTCTCGCGAGTCATGTCTGGCCAGCGGCCGCGGGCGACGCAACTCGATCAACCTGCCAGTCTGCTTTTTTTCGCACGCGCGGTCCCATTGTTTACGCCGCATTGTTATCAGCTTTTTGAGTTTTCCGGTTGTTTTCGCAAAACCAATATTTTACGTAGAAACATTTATTGACATTTTTAAGGTAGAACAGTCTAAAATTTCGTCTAGAGGAGGTTCTATTTTCCGAGGGTGACCCCCCAAACCCCCCCTCCAGAGCGTCCCCCGTTTTAGGGCACGCCACGCCACTGGAAAATATAACACACATTTTTAACGCCAACGGGAGGAGGGGAGATGGAGAAGCTGAATGAAACCTTTACCGCTCAGTTTGGTTTGAAAATTCCAAGGGACCCCTAACTCTGTCTCCTTCATAAACTAACATAGGAGTAAATGCGCAAAATAATAAATCCAAAAATAAATAAAAAAAAAGGTTCCTCACGTTCGTTTATCCTTTGCTGCTGCTCCTGTGAAGAGGCTGTCCCAGCTGGTCCTTGCATTTGCGGATCGAAGGTGTTATTTTCACGTTCAAGCTTTTTACGAGTAGATTCTATTTCTAGTGGCATCTCTGGAAACACAATTTATTAGGTATTAATAAGATTATAATTTATAAGGCATTCGTGATTACTGCTCCTTAAATGAAAATGAAAGCCTTTTAGTCTGATAAATAACGACGGTGTAAGTGCGAAAACACGTGTCTCGATTTGCGAAATTGCAATGTTGAAAATTTCTTGTTACAGTTTATTTTTTAAAATAAAAACTAACGAGCTTTTGAAATTTCTCTGATTTTTTCTCCACGTCAAGTAGAATACTCCGTAAAATTTTCAAGCATTAAAAATAAAACAGCAGCAGAGATTTTGAAACGCCGCAACCGAGATACGTATTTTTGCACCTACACCATCGGTAAGTACCTAAACCTAACAGGTTGATATCAGAAAGCTTAAAGTGTTATTATGAAAAAAGAAAAAAAAATTAAAATAAGTCTAAAGTGAAAAGTATTGGAATTACACGTATCGATGGCTGTAGTGCAAAAGTGCGTACGTACATTTCGACGTTTCAAAATCTCCACTTACGTTCTATTTTTTCACACAAAAACTATCCAACATTTTTTAATGAAATTTTCTGAAAATAATATTCCTAGAATTAGAACAAAGAAAAATCATACTAAATTTCAAGAAAAAGTACTCTCTAATTTTTCTTTTAAAAATTAAAACAGAAACGTAAATCTGCAACGTTGCAAATGTAGATACGCACTTCGATCTGCACTTTAGCCACGATATAATAATTCAGTATTGAAAAGATTCAGTTAATTCATTTGAAACTTACCAAGTTTATCATTTGAGTGGGAAACATTAGGAGGGCCCTTAGATAACCATGCTTGAAGATTGGCGGAGTCTTTAGCTGCTTCGAGAGTTCTTTTCTTTTTTTCCTCCCTCTTTGAATGGCCACTTTTGTGGCTGGACCGTTTCATATTTCCAATCAATTTTGGTGAATAAATGTTAAAAATAAATAGAATAACACACACAACACTCACGAGAAAAAATACCAAACCATCTTTAACTCATAAACTGTTACATCAGTCATCCATCAGGTGACATGAAACTCTTTCGCAGCGCGTCCGGAAGCACTTTGCACATTTCAACCTGTCGCATTGCCCGAGACGTCAGCTCGGAGCAATCGAGTGCCTGCAGCAAGATAAGCAAATCACAAAGGTGTCCAATTTTCTGCAGATAAGGCTCTGGGCCCTATAACTCCCCCCCTCATAGCTTTCGCTTTGTAACAGGAGCCGAGTTATGGGGCCCCTCCGCTGCTCCCTTCGAATGTGAAGGGTGGGAGAGATGAAGTTGACTTCGAAAAATAAAATAATAGTAATAATAATAATGGGCCAGTTGCAGACGCAGGGGCCTCTGCTGGTATCTTTTCAGGGGCCCCGCCCCTGAAGTTACCTTCTCCCGGCTGCAGGGCCAGTAGAGGCACCTCAAAAAAGAAGTCATAAGTTAAAGTGAGTAACCTTCAAAGACCGGAAAAAAGAGCTTTCGAGACCCGGAAGGGCCCCTGAAAGTGAAACTCTTTTTTTCAAGCCCAGGGTCAGGGGCCCCTGCTGACATCTTTTCAGGGGCCCCAGAAGTGACCTTCTTCGGGCTATAGGGGTCTCAGAGAAAGAGTAATGCTGTTTAAAGTAAAAACCCCTTAGAGGCCGGGAAAATATAGCTTCGAAGGCCGCTCCAGGGCCCTTGAAACTCATATTTTTCGATCGCTGAGGGGCCCTTGCTGACATCCTTTCAGGGGCCCCTGAGGTTAACTTTTTCCGGCCGTAGGGGCCTCAGAGAAGGTGTTATGAGTTAAACCCTCAAGGACTGGAAAAAACGAGGTTCGGGGGTCCCTTCGGGGCCCCTGAATCTCACTTTTTCAAGGATTCATTTCATTTATTGATGAATAAATTCAAGAATTGTCGGCTCAGGGGCCCCTTCGGGGCCCCTGAGCCGACAATTCTTAGGCAGCGATCGCTGCCTAGCTGCCTTAGCCAGTCCGGCCCTGGTAATATTTATAATCACGAATGATGTATTTCCTCCAGGTGAATTTCGTCGTGAAAGCTGTATCTGCCTTTTCTGCAGCACTCTACGTAGCTCTGAGGAAACGTTGCGATGAAAGTAACACTGTCTGCAACATGAGCAACACGTTACACGAAGATATTCTGCGTGCATTGTCGCATCTAAGTCTCGGGCCGGCCAACAGCACTGGACCGTTCCAGCTACCGGGGACTTCCATCAAACTGACCCACGATGGACATTTGATCTCGAATCGATTCGTATTTTTGCGTGTTGGCAGTATCGGAGATCTTACAGCGGTATGTTATGCACCAGGTTTTCATTGATACCTCCATTATATGAGCTTGTTCATGTTTCATGTGAAACTTTAGACAAACTTATTCTAGGGCTTGCAAGAGGTCGATGTTCATATTTGTCAACTCTGTGCAAATTGAAATTACCCACGAATTATGTCATTCGTACACTGAATATTACATTTCATTTCAAGCGCGTGAACAGACGTCTGGAATGACGCCTGGAAAAGAAATACGATAATATTGCAGTTACACGGTTTTAATGCTACCTATGGAATCCACAGTAGTAGGACTTTGGATTGTGGTAAGGGAAACAAAGGGAATGTAAAAGCAGCCTGAAACGGAAACGACAATCGAAAACACAGGAAAATGCGGAAACAAGGCTAAAATACAAAATACAAAGGCAGGACGTTTCGGTACCTACTTTACGGCACCATTATCAACTGCTAAAATAGAATTAAAAATAAAAAAGAAATTAAAATAAGAGCCAGCAAACGGCGTTACATAGTGAAATTGGTATTGAAATGAAACTACACTGATAACAGAATAAACAACAAACGTCCTGCCTTTGTATTTTGTATTTTAGCCTTGTTTCCGCATTTTCCTGTGTTTTCGATTGTGGTAAGTTTATTTTTAAGCACAGTAGTGTTAAAATACTATCAGTAATATTACACAGTGGATGTGATCATACCTCTTTGTCCAAATCCACGATTTTACTGCCGTAGATTTCCGTGTGACATTAAGATCATGTTGCCATAAAATAAACCTTTATTAGACATAATTAACTGCAAGACATGATTTGTGGATGACAAAATACCCAAATCCTTAAATTGACAACTATTGTTGCATAGAGTATGGTTTCTGGCCTACCTTGAAAATTACAGGCGAAATAGTTCTATGTGTGATTTTCATACCCCTTATGTGTCAATTCTGTCCCCTCATAGGAAACATATCGATCAATTTAGCATCTTTCTTGTGGCGTGCGCATCGGGTGCAGTCAATCCATATCCCCAGTAGCAGTCTACAACCAAAATATTGAAATGGAATGACAATTTAGTGCAAAAAAAATTACAAAGTACTTATCTACATAATTTTGTCAATGAATATGCGTATTTTAAACGATCTATGAAATGCATTTCCTCCGTTACTCTGCTCTACCACTGAGTACCCCATAAAATGCGCAATTTGCAATGCAGAAAAAGTGCAATTTATTTAAATTGGATGCGTCTGCAAAAACGAGCAACGAATGTTATGACACTCATGCCGAGTTTCTCTAGGCATATTTTTCCGGCAGGGGAAATAAACTGTAAACTCTCTAATTAATTAGTGGGTGTCAGAGATCACAGCCTGTTTTTCTTTCAGCACATGCATAGAGATGCTCTCCACGAGTATTTTGATACCAATAACTCAACATCGTCACAAATGGATCACAGTCGTGTTCGCAGACCGCCATCCAATTATCCAGCGATAAGTTTCAACACGAAAAGCGCCTTCAATTAGTGGATAGGCAACAAACGCAACACTCCAGTCCACTCGCAATGATCTTTCCTCGCAATCGCTATCATTCCAAACTCGTGCTATTTGGGATCCCATCTCATTCTCTCAGGGCCGTGTTGATAGTCGTTCCACGAAAAGCAAGCCTTAGTTGGTTACACTGTGATTAAGAGAGGGTTAGGAAACCCTAACACATAGCAAAGCGAACAATCTAGCCAACCTCTAGTAAAATTTATCGGTGTAAATTTGGAAATTGATCCTTGCAAGGGTTTACAATGGTTTATCACCACAAAAAATATAGAGACGAAAGGAAGCATAATGCCAGTTTTGTAAATTCTAAGTTAGGTTTGTGCCTACCTTAAAGTTTGTCAATTATGTAGTGTTTTCTTTCGTATTTTGTATTCTTTGCAGTGGCAAATCATTGTGATTTCTTGCGAGGATTCATTTCCCAAGTTATACTGCTAAATTTCATTTGTGGTCGGCGAAATTCATCTTTTCAATGATGCTATTTTGAGGGCATCCTTAAACTTCCCTTCATCACAGTGTAAACGAAATGGGGCCTCTTAAGGAAAATAGATGTTCGAGGAACGATTATGAAAGCGGCCTTAAATCAATGAGCATAGGATCTCAAGCAGCGCAATTTGGGAATGATTACGATTACGCGGTAAAATTCGTTGTTTCTTCACGAAAAAACTTAACCAACTTTCAATATTGCCAAATTTCCCCTCGCAAATTACATTTTTCCTGGAGAATATTGGATACCTTTACCTGAATATTTCACTGTTATTTCCTTCGATCTTATGCTAAAATCAGGAATATTTTGAAGGAAAATTACACGGGTACGTTTTTGTAAAAAAATGAATTGTTTGAATCAATTTTGCCGTTTTGGAATGGAGTAACGTTCCTTCGTCCGACACTCCGACGCGACGCACAATGAATCGAGTTAATTGGAGAGGTTGGACAAAATATGGAAACTTTCAAAGCTTATTACTCCATTCATACACATCTTTGAGGTTCTAAATTTGGCTCCGTTGGTTTCCTCGTGAAATTTTCTTCAAGAAGCTTCTCATAAAATTTAAAATATGACGAAATAGACATTAAAATTCTCAGTTTTAGTAAAAAATTTCATGTCCGACCTCTCCCATTGACTCGATCCAATGTGCGACGGTCCGGGAGACGGCGAATTACTGCGAGAGGATCGTAGTGTTGTGTATGTTGCCTACCTACCAATTGAAGGCGCTCTCTTCGTTTTATTGCATTGAAACTAAATAGAATTGAATGAAGGGAAGGAACTATTTAAAGAACGACTTTAAATACACCCCCTCAACTTATTCGCTCTTAATCTGTTTCAGATCGGTTGGTACTCGGACGACTCCGGCCCGAACCTAAACCGGATGGCGATGAGCAACCTCACTCTCCGTCGACACTCCACCTCGGAGAAGAAAGGCCGCGGCCTGGACGATAGCTCCTTCCTCCGACTCTCCCTCTCGGACCTCTTCTCGCCGAAACCGTGGATCTCATCTTCGGACGGCGACGTCAACGTCACGCCCATCGCGTTCCACTTCCAGTCCCGAACCTGGGTCCTGGTCATGATCTCCCTGGCCAGCCTCGGCATCCTCTTCACCATCTTCATCTTCTTCTACGTTCTCATCAAGCTCTGCGACAAGACCATCGTCGGCAACCAGTCCTTCGGCATACTCTTACTCATCGGCATAGCCATCACCTACGGTAGCGTCATACTCTTCATCCTCCCCGCCTCCGAGCTACGGTGCTCCCTACGGCTCTTCGTATACCCCCTATCCCTCAGCTTATGCTTCGGTATACTCATCGTCAAACTAATGCAGCTCAAGACTTTGGTCCTTCTAGGGTTGGGCGGTAGGATCTCCTACTTGAACCAGTACTTAATTCTCTTCTTCATCGTCTTAGTGCAGTTTGTAATATCCATCCAATGGTTCATGGATAACGGGCCACATCTACGGGCCGATAGTGAGAAGTCTGCATCCTGCTATGCCTCCGAAAGGGACTTCCTTATTTTGCACACGTATATCATGATCCTTGCTGGCTTAGCATTCCTCTACGGGCTTACCATTTTGAAAATAAGGCGGAACTACAAAGAGGGTCGTTGGATTACCCTGGCGGCCTTTTTGAGTCTTCTCGTGATGTCTGAATGGACAGCGATTCGGTACTTCGGGTCTCCACACGTGCAAGAGCCTGTAGTTTGTATATCCTTAATCATTCTTCCGTCCATCCTCCTTCTCACTATCTTCATCCCTAAGATAAGTACTATTTCCAAACAAAGCTCGTACTTAAAGAACAAGAAGAAGAATGCGAAATCTTCCGCCACTGTTTTCACGACTTTCTCTGAGATTTCCTCTCAACCTAAGAAAGAAACTCAATGGGCGCAGATTGACTACAGCGGCACCATGTCCAAGAATCCTCTTTACGAACCAGACTCGAGTGCTTATATTTAAAACTCCGGTACTTATCTGGGTATTTTTTTTACCGTTAATCTAAGAAAACGTAACAACGTATTACTCGGTGGTACTAAATTATTATACCCGGTGAAATATGAATTATTTTTAGTGTTCGCAGACTGATTTAATTAATGTAGTATCATACCCATAAAAAGTCTGTGGAAAAAATGAGACTGTTTTGTAATTTTGATAATGTTAGAGAATACTTGGTAGTGAACATAATAGTGACAACTATCGCTTTGCAGTTTGTGCTGTTTGTCTGTGCAAAGAGGATGCGTAGATGATTTCTATCCATTATTGTACGCAAAAAAGAGAAAAATAATAGGAGAAAAATGAGAGGAAGAGGGTCCGATCTTTTCACTTCAGCGTCATGTGAAGGAAAGCCTCTCAACAGAAGTATGTGGAGATTTTTTATTAAAATCCAAACCCTCTTTTGAATGTAATTGAAATCACGCCTTTGTAAAAAGCAAAGCTAAAAACTCTTAGAGTATTTATTTTTGAAATTCAGTGTATCAATCAAAAAAATTTAAAGATCTAGATAAAACTTAATTTTTTAAATATAAATAGAGATAGGCAGGTAAAGAAAAACAACACTTTCACGCTTTCTGTGGATAGTTGTTGTGATGTAAAAAGAAGAAGACTTTGCCAAAAATTAACATAAAGCGGGTGCAGAATTCCTCTTGTATGACTTTTCATGAGTATGAATTGATTGATCCATCGGAGATGAGTTTCATTGATTTTCATCCAATTCATACTCACTAACACTGTTCAAGTCAGAGGAAAGGAAGTCAGTAGAATAAGTATCTTGTAAGATTTACTAATTGTTCGTCTTAAAGCATATGTTTTAAAGTTTCATTTTTTAATTTGTATAAAGAATGATGATTCGTGTTGTTTTATTGTTTTGTAACTTTGTATTATTTTTTCTATCTTGAAGTAAATTATATCCAAAGATCTTATTTCTTTAACTGAATGCATGAGTTAAATGTGATTGTAAAAAATGAATAATATGACTTTTACTGAGTGGTTAACTGCACGGAGTTTTCATTTTTCTGCTCAAATCTCTTCCTTACATCTAGCCTCTCTCTTGATTAATCTGATGCGAGCACTCACGCGACATCATGAGCAGTGGCGACGCGTGAATGATCGATTATCAATATTTCTCCATTTGAAGCCATGAAAAAGAATCGATTATTAAAGTGTCCGTTGCGAACAGCCGAACACCCTATTTATCGACCCTTTTCCATAGGTTTGCATGGTGGATCAATCGATATATCGCAAAGCGCGGCACGCCACTGATCATGAGGCATGTTTTCTTCGACTTACAATAAAGTCACTTTAATTAATTACTTACATGGAAAATTTATGGAGGGCCGCTGAAACTGAGGAGAAATACCTACGCCTGGGCATGGAAGGTACATAAAACAAAAAGGTTCCGGTATGAAAAGTATGCGAAACATTTCGGATTGAAAAGTTTCGGTCTGGGATTAAGATGAGGCGTGGCAAGAATTTGTGACAACTACAATAATCAGTGCACATATTTTCCTCGTCTTACAATAGATACGAAGAATCACAGTAAATGAATTAAAAGTCGATTTACCTAACAGTAAATTTCTTCGTATATAAACTCCTCCCAAGAAGCAGTAATCGCGATAAGTTGCGATTTGATTGGATAATGTATCGCGATTTTATTGACGTCGATTCATTGCAATGTTATTGGATAAAAAAGTGCGATAAGTTGTGATTTTATCACATAAATTTGCAATGAGATCGCGATTTTGTCGACGATTATTTACAGCAATATTATCAAACAAAAAATCAGAATATATTAAGATAATATTTCGATTTTATGGAATGCGATTTTAGAGAGATAAAATTACGACAAGATCTAGGATAATCGCTCAGATGTTGATGATCCTAGCGATTTTATCACCGAAAAATCGTGAAAAAATCGCAACTTAATTTATAAATATCGCGATTTTTCCGTTGAAAAATGCTACCTGGGTCCAATCGTTTTATTATGGAGCCATCATTTTATACATATCGACGGTAGGTAAGTCGGCAATCACATACTTAACTCGGTTTGCGACGTCGCAGACTTCCTGTCATACTTTATTTTTAAACGGAAAACTACTCAACACGCAACGGCAATTCTTTAAAACTGCCGTGATTTTTCTTCTCTGTTCAGAGAAAATTCTGCAAAAATTTCAAGGAATGATGTCGATTTGTTCTCCTTTAAATAAATAACATGGAGACGGAGATTGTCAGACACCGCAAACGAGTTATGTGATTGCCGACTTATACACTGTCGATGTGCGTTTCAAAAATATCGATAGTTTGAATGAGTAAAATGCCTTCCCAGGGCCGGATTTAGGGGGTGGCCCATGGCGGCCAATTTTGCAATTTTTTTAAAATTCCGATATAAAAAAAGCAGATTCAGAAAAAAAATTACAAACTAGAAAAGGCGAGAAAATCTCTCATTTCCTGAAAGTATAGTAATGTCTAAGTTCGTCGTTTTTCGGTGATACAAGAGACAGCATCTTTAATTAGTCGAGTTAAAAAAGAGACGAAATACAATTTTGCCTGGACGGCGAAGCGCAGAGAGCAATAATGACGAGGACTTGAGATGAAAAGGAGAAGCCCTCGCTCGGCGTGGCGATCGGCATGAAACGCGTATTAGTGCCTGCAATACTGCACGAATACTTCACGCATTGCGTCAAACACACGCGGTCGGCGCGGCGCGCGGCGGCGGAAGTTAAAATCATTAAACCGCAAATGTTTGTTCTTTCATAATTTTCCCTTCATTTTTTACAGACGGTTTTTTTGTCACTAAGGGGCTTAAGCAGGGATGTTGTCTGTCACCGACGCTGTTCAAGATATATCTAGAGCACGCTCTGAAGGAATGGAAAAGAAAGTGTGCCGGCATGGGTGTCCCTCTAAATGACCAAGCAACACTGTTCACGCTATGCTTTGCTGACGACCAGGTAGTCATAAGTCAAGATCACGATGACGCGGAGTATATGACCCGGAAGTTGGTGGAGGAGTACCGCAAATGGGGCCTCGAGGTTAGTGTCCGTAAGACAAAAAAGATGTCAGTCGGAGGTGCTCAGCAAAGCATAGTCCTGGAGGATGGTCAACATATAGAAAGTTGCGAACAATACAAGTACCTGGGGGTGAAGCTGACTTCGGATGGGAAGCTGGATCAGGCCATTCGGGACCGTAATCTTCTAGGAAGGAAAGCCATCGCCATGCTTAATGGGATCCTTTGGGACCAAAGGATTTCCAAAGACAACAAGAAGAGAATTTATAACTCGGTTGTCAAGCCTATTATCACCTATGGCAGTGAAGTGTGGCAGTTGAAGAAGCGGACCCAAGAAATGCTCAAGGCGACCGAGATGGATTTCTGGCGAAGATCGGCTGGAATCTCGAGGAGAGAACGTGTCAGGAATGAACGTGTCCGAGAGATAATGGGCGTTGAGGGGACGATTGTGCACGATATCATGACCAAGCAATTGGTATGGTATGGGCATGTGCAGAGAATGGCTGATACCAGGTTGCCGAAGAAGGTGTTGGAGTGGGTCCCCCCAGGTAGGCGACGGAGAGGGCGTCCAGCCAAACGGTGGGTAGAGGGCATCCATGAAGAGATGGCGAGATGCCACCTTCCGGAGGATCTCTACCATGACAGATTCCTGTGGAGAATAGGCGTCGCAGAGCGCCCTAGCGCGCTGTAAAAGCGGCTCATACATACATACATTTTTTACAAATGGAAGGCCTTGTCCACGCAGAGATAGGTTTACGGAACTTAACTTTCGCGCAAAGTTCCGTGAACTTTCGCTAGTAGTGTTAACAGGGCTTTCGCATAAATGTGTCCAACACAAGTGAATGCGTCTCATCCACTCCTCCCCCCACCACTTGATGGTTTTTATTGATGTTCCAAAACGAGTGAGAACGCAGCGGCAAAATACAGGCGGCCCATGGACGGCAAGTAGGTAAATCCGGCTCTGTGCCTTCCTACATCATACAATGTTATCCTCACAAGACTCTTTGTCACATTTGATCCCCAAGCAGGATTCTTGATATCCTCGCAGATCTGTACCGTCGAGAGAGCTGGAGTCTTGCCTCCATTACGAGACTCTTTTCCGCTATATCAACATAATAATAGAGTTAGTTTAAAGAAAAATTGTTCGTATGTATTGAATAATTTGAGGGATCATCGCATGAACCCTCAGAAAGTTAAGATATGTAGGTACAGGAACTTAACTTTCTCTCCTTCGTATTTGAATACACCCAGTTGTGTCAACAGAGTTTAACAGTAAAATTTCAATATCAGTGAACAATGCTTTCCGCACAATTTGTGTTATGATTATTCACTAAATTACTTACTAATTACTTACTTACTAAATTAATTAAGCGACTTCGCAAGCGTTGCATTTTTTTATTTATCGAACATACAATCGAGTAATTCAAGGGAATTTGAAACAACTAGAGATTTGGCTCTTGATACTGAGCCTCTCTCCATGACAAATATCGTACATTGTCAATTGAGTGAATTTCAAGGGAGCTCAATTAGAAATTTTAATAAGTACCTACTAACGGCCAGCAAAAGAGCTAAAATTAAAGATGGTCGAGGAAATATTTGGTTCTGCGCAGATTTTTCTAACTGACGTAAAAACTGGGCATGGAAAAATAAGAAATTATGATCTATATTATTCTTTAATTCGCCATCGCAAAAATTCTCTCATTAATCTAAAAGAAATTGTTTATATCAAAAAGAAAAAGCAGGAAAATCTGCTTGATTCAAGCGAATTTATTTTTAACTCAAGAGGAAATTCTTATGACGGCAAATACACTTCCCAATAGAGGGCAAACTCATCGTCCTGTTTTTAAATACTCACTTAGGTTTAGAGCTGCAACAAGCTTTGTAAGTACCTCGCAGCTCTTAAATTTTTATTGAAGCAGATATTTCAAGCTTTCGGCTGTAGAGGGCGGTATGAGTAAGGACATAAACAGCGCTCGCTGAAACTCTTTGCAGAATGTGCCGACAGACAGCGGTACCTACTTGTCGGCTGCTGAAAAAGCAGCTTTAGACCAAGTTTAAAGTGGAAATTCGAATCAGTTCGATTGCTCTAAAATTCGTAAGGACTTGTTGATTATTATAGTTTTACCGAGGGGATGGTTTTCAAGCGTAAAGCGTGGATTGAAACTTTGAGTTTTGTTCCTAAAACTATTGATATTAAAATTACAAAATAAGTAAATCTAGCACGTTTAAAATTCCTTTTAGGCGGAGGAGAGGCATTTGTAATCGTGACTTTTTACTGTAAAAAAAGCTTCGTTTACAAAAAATTCAAATTTTGGGATAAAAATCGCCGGAAAATGTTTAACTTGCCGAGAGTGGTAGCTGTTTAAAACGTGGTTTCGAGATAAAGCTCATGAAAATTGCCATGCTCAGAGTTTAGATCTGCTAAATTTTGATGCACCTTTACATCCTTCCTTTTTTGACAAAAAAAAATGACTGAACTGCTTACAATTTACTCTCGAGGAACCCCAAGGGCGTGTCTTCCTTTCAAATATCCAAAAACCAATTTTTCGACTGAACTCGATAGAACTCGATTTACTGAGAATTGCCTCTTTGGGCGGTCACAAGTGTACAAAAGGAGGGCCTCTTATAAAATGAATGAAATTAATGAAATGAATGAAAAATGAATGAGAAAAATTAATGAAAATGTATGAAAATGAATGAAAAAAAAAAATGAATGAAAATAAATGAAAATGAATGAAAGGGGACAATGGACTCCCTAAAAACTATCTCTCAATTGTGATGATCAAGGAACATACGTACACATAAACTTCCGTAAATTGAGTCACTCGATTTGACCAACCAATTTATGTGAGGGTTTTTCGTGCAATGCTCCTTCAATACGATGGTCAATGAACAATACCGCTTATCTGCAAACTGACGATTTTGCAGAACGAAGAGAAAACTTCGTCATTTTTTTCATATTAAGGTCAGGGTCAGATTTACTATTTTATT